TCTTAATATAAAGAATAACCTAATACACAGACTTTCCTCCTGTTGAAATCCATCCTGCTTTTTAAAACAATACCATGCCCAGATGGAGTAGGATGGATAGAAACTAATATTTTCAAAGAGAGGATCTTTAAATAGACTATCAGATTTCACTCAATTTCGTGGTGAGAGAAAACCAGAAGTGGATTCAATGTAAATGCTGTTGTCTTTCACTGTTGTTGTACCAAACCGAGGCATCCAAGGCCCAAACCAATGTTAGCCCGAGTCAGCAGAAGTCTTTGCACCACCTCTCTGGTTCTCAGGCATCCAAATGAAAGCTATCCAGCTAGGCAGCACAGTCAGAGCCTCTGCCTCTGACCTCCCTCTGATATTGCACACCAGGCCACAGATTTTACAGATGGGGAAAGGCTGAACAGCAAGCCTTTCGGCCTCTTATAGATGTGGTTAAATTATCTTAATGTATTTAAACAAAGTGCAATGTCAAAGTAGCATAAATACCATATATCAGCAAAATGGCTGCTTCTCCAGTGTTCTGCTTGCTGATGCCAAATGAAATACTTCTCATTGTTTATTCACAAAATTCCTTCTTGCCCACTGAATTTTCATATTGCTGGGCTGGGCCAAATAATCAGTTTCCTTTTAAAATAGAAAACCCATTAGTTCATTCCAATAGGCTTTTCATGTTACATTAAAAACCCTTGGGAGTGCAACGTGATTAGCCTATTTTGGTTTTAATTACTGATGATTGGAGCCTACCTGTGGGGAAACTCTGAAAGGCACACAACAGCCAGCCATGCACACCGAGACATTTATGGGGCAGCTAAAGGAGGAGGCTTGAAATGTATGGTAGCAATTTGGTATACTAGTAGTATTTCCAGCCTTTTTAAAAAGGATGTCCTATGTGCTAAGAAACACACCTGCATCACTTCAGAGATTAATGTGCAATTTCTTGGCAGTACGTGTGGACATTTCAGTTGTCCATTAGAACGATATAAAACCAGAGGAGAAATTTTTTTGATCAGCTTTAATTGAACAGGAATCTCTTTTCCTTAAAGTAACCTAGGTGTCTTGGGAAATTTACAAGCCTCCATGAATGCCTGGACAAAAAGTAAAGAAATGACAGAGGCCCCCAAAAGTATAAATCCTCCTCCATCCTCCTCCATTAGTCAAGTCTCTTCTGTGAATGAGTTAACTTAAAAAAATCATATTACTAAGTATTTTATCAAAGCAAACATTTAATCAAAGTGAAAGGAAGAGATACTAGTCCCCTTCTGGAATGGGATGGAGACTGCCAAGATGTGTTTTAATTTCTTAAGAAAACAAACTATGTTAAACATTGGGTTTTAAGCAAGCAGATGCTCATTTATCATTCGTTTTGTCTGTGCATGCACTTGCGATCCTGCTGAACACAAGTTTTATGAAATGGAAATGACCACATGGCCAATACCTCAAAAATTAATTCAACATGCCCTGCCTCTCGCGTGCAACACATCCTTTTAATGGTGCTTTTCTTCTTTTTTTTTCAGCATTGGACAATGGAAACAGAACAACTGCCATCGTGGGAGTTTGGTTCATTGCAGAGACAAACTGTGACTGATGCCGTATGCTATGAGCAGAGTTTGGATACTTTGCAAAGGCTGTGCTTTCACGGCCCCACTTCTTTTAGAGGTTATCTCACATTAAAAAAAAAAAAAAAAAAAAGCTTTGCTACTGTTTTAACCCTGGTCTTGCTGCAGACTTCCTAACTGGGGTCCTAGACCATGTGAGAGGGCCTATAAGAAGTGACCTTCCACTGCCTCAGAACCATGCTGAAGTGCTTTAGGCTGAGTGTTTGGGGTGCCAGAGATGTCCAGGGATGACAGCAGTTCATGCACACACCAGGTTTTCTCCTCATACATCACAAAACAGCTAAAGGCTGGCTAAGGAAAGCATGAGCAAGCAAAACAGAATAGCGTTATAAGCTCAAACTCCTAATTTGCAGGTACAATTGCCACAGTCACTGGAGATTTACATGGTAAGGGCCAAACTGATTTCAGACTGGTTGTTCGTGAGCAAAATTAAAGTAAGTGCAATTATGACCATGGGTCCTGATGCAGAAAAAAGACTCATTCAGTTGAACACAACTAATGGCCACACATGTCATTGAAGACCGTAGCTTTCACCTTCCTCGTAAAGACTCAAGTGGCAGCCATGAACCTGAAGCATAGCCCAGTGACATCATTTATAGTTACCCACCTTGTCTTAGTCAGGGCAGTATGTTTCCCTAATCAGCAGAGTATAACTTGTTTATTTTTTTGTATCATCCTTGTCGTGCCCACTCTGCTGCTTTGTTCCTCTGCTAGTGATCACAACTCACCTGCTCAGCAGAGCTGCCCTAAAGCTCTACAAGCAAGAAGTGACACTGGCTGATGATGAATGCTATCAGCATATCATCACAGTGACTGACATCTTTGACACCTCATAAACCCATACTTTAAACAGTCACATACCAGAAGAATCATTTGCTGACCTGTGCTGATGCAAACAGCAATAGCAGAAGCATGTTAAGTCTGCATACGCAGCTAACAGTTTTGATACTCTATATTATTAGATGCCACAATAATAATTAACTATAAATACCATACACCATGCATGTGACATAGCTACTCACCTGGGCTTGAACCTTGAGTTAAGGGCAGCAAGGATGACAGAAGTGAGAAAGGAACAGTGCCTGTGTTTCAGCTCGCCCCTTGCCTGCTTCCAGAGAAATTGAGCCTCAGTTTCTTCAGATCCGAGTATCTGAAGAAATACTTGCTATCTGGAATATTCCCACTCTGCCAGGGAAGTAACCAGACATTTGTCTTCCCAACAGCATTGAAAACCCCCACTGTGGCTGCCCACAAATAGAGACATTAGTCATAATACTAGGGGTTAGGGGAATAGAGTATTTCATTTGGAAGGGACCTGCAATGATCATTTAGTTCAACTGCCTGACTAATTCAGGGCGAAACAAGTTAAACCATGTTTAGGGCATTGCTTAATTACTTCTTAAATGGCACTGACCACCTTGCTAGAAAGCCTGTTCAGTATTTGAGCACCCTCTCAGTAAAGAAATGCTTCCTAATGTCCAGTCTAAACCTCCCCTGATGCAGTTTTGAACCATTCCTATCAGTGGATCCCAGGGAGAAGAGCTCAGCATCTCCCTTTCCACTTCCCCTCCTCAGAGAGCTGTAGAGAGCAAAGAGCTTACCCCTCAAACTTCTTTTCTACAAACTAGACAAGTCCTAATTGGGCATTCCTTATAGCCCTTTCACCGGCTTTGTTGCCCTTCTCTGAATCCAGTGACCTTCACATCCTTCTTAATCTGTGGGGCCCAGAACTGCACACAGTGCTCAAGGTGAGACTGCACCAACACTGCATACAGCAGAATAATCAGCTCTTTGGACCTGCTGGTTGTGCTCTGTTTGATGTGCCCCAGGAACGTGGTGCCCTCTTGGCTGCCAGGGCTCACTGCTGACTCACAGTGAGTCTGCTGCTGAGCAGCACCCCCAGAACCCTCCCTTCAAGCCACTCCTCTCCCAATTTATACTTGTGCTCAGCATTACTCTGGATTAGTTAAATTTCATCCTATTTATCATAGCCCAATGCTCCAGTCTACCTAGACCCCTCTCAAGGCCTTCTGTCCCTCAAGAGAGTGAACACCACCCCTCAGTTTGGTATCATCAGCAAACTTGCTAATGATGCATTCAAATCCTGTATGTTGGACCTGATAGTGTCCTTTGCAAATAAATGAAAACTGATATTTTTGATTTCAGTTTTATATTTGATTAACCATTGTAATTTTAGAAAACAATTCATCGAGATGTGGCCACATGTCACATCTCAATGAAAGCCTTTTGAACTGCAACTTTCTCTAAGGAAATTGGTTTTGTGCTTTGAATTACCTGCAAATCACATTCATATGTCTGATTTTTTTTTCCTGGTAATATCATCTTAGTGTCAGCACTCAGGAAGGTTAACTAACAACAGGGATGAAAAGTCCTTGGAAAGACAGGCTCTGTTTGGTGCTGACTGCTAGGAAATCATTCCTAATGTCTTCATCTCTGCCTTTTCTTGCTTTTTGCGATAGTTACTCTGTTTGGTAACTGCCTACTCTACTCTTCAGAAAGGAATTTATTTTTCAGCCAAAGGAGAATAGACCTTGGAAAAAGTCTGGAGGTGTCAAAACTGACACCCAAACCTCACCAACGCTCATAGGAGGAAATCCAGATATATCCAAGGGAGAGTTCATTCACAGAAGAACCAAGATGGATTTGTGGAGAAGTATTTTAATAATATTAGCAACTAGTGTTTGTTTCAAAAGTCAGTATCCAGTGTGTGCATAGATGGTAAATATTTATTTTAAATAATAATATTTTCAACATGGAGCTGGTCCATTGAGCAATGTCCTATTCAATATGTTCATAAGTCAGTGAGTGAGCTGAGAAGGGACTCCAGGTTTCCTACTAGCCTGCTATCAACTTCTGTGCATGTCAGGCCATGCACTCCCCCTGGGCAGGTTGCCATTTCTCTGCCAAGGAAGAGGTGACTCCTATCTGCACTACATAACATAAACAAGTCACCCAACTTCACTGCTAAGGAGACATCTGTAGGATCAAGATCACACTCCATCTCCAACTCTCTGATTGCTTACTTTGTTCATAGTCTGGCTCACACTTAGGCTGAGGCCATTGATCTACAGACCAGGGATAAACAGGCACAAAAGAGAGTGCTGACCAGGACTTGGATACTGCCCCCACAGGCATTGTGGGTCCCAGCAGGCTGGGCCATGCCCTGCGCTGAATGCTCTTGCACAGCAGTGGGTCACATTAACACTGTAATAAGCCATAGGCTGAGCTTTAAAATGACTATACAGAGAAGATCCAGGAGACAAACCTGGCTTACATATTAGTTTATAAGAGTTTGGCCATCTTCTACTGTCATGTCTGAGAGTATTTCCTCAGAAAATTTTATTTTTTCCTTATCTCATGATTTGCTGTTTGTTTGTTTAAGGTTCCTGAAGCACAGTCCAAGCAGGTTGAACCTTGTGACTTGTGGCTGACTGAATAGTGCTTTGCAAACAAATGTGCCATGACCACAAACTAAAAACAGTGGGCTTCAGTCCCAGGGAGATCGCCTTTTGCAAGTCTAGTACCTCGCATAGTGGAGTCCATGTCTGCACACATCCGAAGTCCACTTCTGGAGAGGCAAGCTGGCCTTCAGACTGACACCCCAGCTGCCTGCTAACCTTCAGCCTTCCACAGCTACATCACCCCTGCAACATGAACAGTCCCCTGTCTTGTGGTTCAGTGAAAAGGCAAACACGAACCATGGGGAAGAAATTACTACTCTGTTTTGGTTGTCCTTTCTGGCATCTGGTGGCATTCCCACCATGTCCCCTTGAAAGTCCTGATCGTTCTTTTAAGACTGCCTCCGTGCTGATAATTCAGTACAACAGCAGCACCTGTTATCCCAATCTCCTCCTCCAGTGCTGGCTGCCTTGGGCTTGTACAGCAGGTACCTCCTGCCTCTGCATCCCATTCTGCCTCACAGGGAAGGTATGGCCGGATGTCTCTGCTGGTCAATGAGTGTATTTCGCATACCAGCTCATGTTCAGTTCCCTGTACCTTTTCTGTGGCTATTTTACCTATTTGGTCTCTGGGTACAGTCCATGATGCAAAGCCTGGAGTCTCCCTCTGCTGAAGGACTGTCACTAGTTGTGGCAAAACACACAGATTGTCTAAGTCAGATGGTGTCTTTCAGAGACCTTCCTTCTAAGACTTTCTGTGCAGTGTTGGTCTTGTGCTGACCTCTGTCATCTGTACACCTGCTCAGGAAGGCTCACAGGCCCTCCTGGCTGCAGCACGGTAATATGAAGTCTCTCCTGGTATTGTCTTCTGTACTGCAGCCTCAGATTTTTAACTTCCTGGTGGTACAGGAGAAGAAGAGCATAAGACAGGAAGATCAGGAGCCAGCAGTTTTAAACCGCCCCCTCTCCTGAATGTATCTGGCTTTTTAGAGAAAATTTCTATCTCAGAAGCCATACTTATCTTATTTTACCCTCTTAAATAACTCAGCAACAATTCCTAGTCTTTCAAAAAGTGATAGGGGTGAATGCAAATGTTTGTGCCTCCCAGTGTGCACGTCCTCGATGTTGTCCATGCAACCCCAACTTGCAGTTGTCTTGAGGCAGCAGCAACTATGTGACTGAGTTTGAGCCAATTATTTCAAAGGTTAACCCCTGAGGATTTTAACACCTTCACAAATCAACGGTGGTGAAGATGCTCGATGTGCACTTTGGCTTCACAAGACTACAGTCATGTCACTGTTACTAGAACAGATGTTGAGACCCATTTTATATATATATATAAATTTATTTATTTTTAGTAAATTATATAAATGCACATATGCCAAATATAAGTGAATTACTATTATTATTATTATTATTATTATTATTATTATTATTCCTTTCTTAACACCTCAATTAGCCTATTTTTCAAAAGTCCTCTGACATCTGAAAGGTTGGCTTCTCAGCTCCATCTGTCCCATGCATGCTCCCTAAAGCAGGGGAATGCAAATTATCAGCCCCATGGGGGCTGTAAAACCTAAATGCTTTAGGCAACCCAGAAGTCCTTTGCTCTATCATCTACCTTGACAGTAAGAGGTAACGGCCCTGTGAAAGGCCTACCTTGCTCCCAGCTAATTCTTTTTCTCACCTGGAGAAGGGAGGTCTAAGAGCAAATACCTCGGGGTTTCTAGTTTCTGGACAGAAAGGGAACTTGTTGGTGTGCAGTTTGTTGGTTTGGGAAGTTCGTCTTTGCATAGACTACAGGCTCTGATTAATGTGATGTTGTTGCTATGGCCATTGCTCTATCCTGCAATGTTTTCTGTTTCTGTCTTTGCTGACAAGGCCTTTAGCACCAGTCTAAGGGCAACTAGTAATAACAGGGAGGAACAGAGTCATAATGACCGTCCTCTGAGCAAACAATTGATATGCTAATGACGTTGGTGGGAACGCAGCTCGTATCTACAAAGACAGGGACTGGAGAATGAAAATAAGACAGGGCAAAGAACAGAGGGGATTAAAAAAATGAAGAAGAATCCTGTGGGATTTTTCCAAGGACCTAGAATAATCTTTGTGGAGGAAAGGGAAGGATCCAGTGTGATTTGTACTGGGAGCAAGTCTGGTTTATTAGCTGAGTTAGCAGAGGAACTGACTCAAATTTAATATTACTCCACCGTAGAGAGGATATGGAAGTAAAGAAATCTATGCAGAGTTTTTTTATTTGAATTTTATCTTCTGTGCACTTCTGGTACTGAGTAAACAGCTAAGTTGTTCCAGAATCCCATCTCAACCCAAAGGCATGTTGCCTTTTCAAACCACCAATTATGTGCTCTAAACAGGTACAAAGGATGACCAGATCTCCCAGGTACCTGTGGTCCTGAAGAATGGGGTGTTTTGAAAGTGGTGGCTGGAACACAAAGCAGTTGTGTTTGAGGCTTCACCTCTCTACAGAACAGCAAGCAAAGTCAGTGCCCTAGATGTGTTTCAAGACAGGTCATGGAGAAAAGGAAATTGCAGTCTTCCACAGTGTGTCAGGGCCATGGGAAGTTATGTGAATGCCTAAAGAGGAGATCTGCTCTGGCCAAGTCATGAGCAGTTGCATTTCACACTCATTCTTTTCTTATTTGCCACCAAAAATAATCTATGATTGAACTAGCCATATTATTTTAGAAAAAAATGCATTGTCAACCAAAGACTTTAAATAATGGAAAATCTGGAAATCTCTTGTGACTCTGCTCCAGTACTAACACCCTCACTATTACAGACTTATTTCTGCTTTCAATTTTTTGAACTTCAGCTTCCACATTTCAGAGTAAAGAACTGCTCTATCTAGATACTTTTTTGTGTAGACACTTTTTAACCCCAACCAAGTTGTCTCTTAGCTGTCTCTTTGGTCAGCTGAATAGATAGAATTTCTTAAATCTCTCTTTGTAGGGTGCATTTTTCTCACCAAGAACCATTTTCATTCAGTCTAGGATTTGAGCTGAACAAAGCTGAGGGAAAAACTTTGGCCAGACTCTGTTTTGAGAAAACTTAGGAGATAGATGTTAGTATCTGATTACATTTGGTGTTAATACAAACTTGATTATGCAGCAATAAATTCTGCAGCTTGTATTGTTTTGCTATGACAAAAACCTGAGTCATCCATTACACTTCTCTGTGGACTTCTTCCCTTTGAAATGATTATAACAAGCATGATTATATTGCATCAATATAAATCAACAGTGATGCCCTGTCCTGGTTACAATATATTGACGTTTTATTCACAACATCATGGGTTTCTTTTCAGGCATTTTCAAAAGTATAAATCTCCCTTTCAGGGTGCTCAGTAGCAAAATTAGCATTTGCTTTTTGTCCCTGTGTTACAATTTTTTCATGGTTGTCAGTCCAAGTATTTGGCCTTCAGAGCTGTCTGAGGGAAAGCATAAATCAGATATATAAAAATCCAGTATATAAAATTGTGAGTTCTCTCACAAGCAAGAAAAAAGTTCCTTTTTGCAAGTGTAAAAGTGAAGGTGAATCTCTGTTTAAAAGTGTGGTCACTGCTTTTTCGCTTCAGAAAACATTGCAGCATTATGTTACTACAGTGAGAAAATTGTTATAGGTCAGCTAAAGGCCAGTAAATTGTAACACGCTCTTGCATCTCCCATAGAAGAAATCATGATCTCATGATGGAAATGTTCTCTGGGCTATATTATTACTGCAACTTGTCCTCTAAGAACGAGGGCAGAAGCTCGTAATGGATATGGTGCCGGCACAGTTACAGGAGCGTACTCTCCTATCCACATGCCTCTGCACCACTTCTCCTCCCACAGAAAGGTCAATGACAGAGAGGTGAGAGGATTTACATACGCAGTGCCCTAGAAAGAAGTACTTCTAGCTAGGTTGGGCCTGGGCTGTAAACAGTCCCACTTATTTCAGCTAAACATTATTAGGGTCATAAAATGTCTCAAGATTCATGCAAACTTCATGCCAACTTGGCTGCAGCCCAGGTTCATCTGCTGTAAAAGCCTCCTGAGAACAGTTGGGGAGCTTGGGAGAACCCTGAGTCAGAGCCCGAAAGGGGTTGCTTTGGGAGGTTTCGTGTCCATTTTTGGCAGGCCAGCTTTCTGTGGGATGAAAGCACTGCAAAAAGAAAAGGAGGTCTTACAGCATCTTGAGGCCCTCTGTGCCTGTAAGTGACATCTCCAAGTCAATGGCTGGGGCATCCTGGTTTTCGGGTTCATCTGAAAGTGCAGGTGTACTGCTTTGGAAAACAACTGAGACTGTGGTGTTGCGAGGTGAGGTTTTGCAGTGCTGCTGGCTTCCATGCTCCAGTGTACAAGGTTGGCCCAGTAATGCTCAGAAATTATTTATTATGCAGGCTTTCTTTTCAAGGCAGTGGCCTTTCCTTCTCAGGAAGGTAACAGCTTGTTCCTCTCTCTTTGCAAAATCACTGACTGCCACATTTAACTAGTGGTTGGGCTCAGTGCTTGTCCTACTTTTCCCCATCCAGTGGCGGGGCATGGTTATGGGGGGAGGTTCAACAGAGTAACCCAAGGCTACAGTTGCAGCCTGGGGATGGGTTTGGGAGGATGGGGGCATCCCACTTGGATCAATGCAAGGCACACCAGGCATACTGGTGATGCCAAGTGTGATAAAGCTGGAGGGGTGAGGGATGCTGGAGTCAAGAGTGCCAGCGAGCTCCCGCACACCTCTGAGGTCATCAGCTCTGACCAGGGCATGCTGTAGTACAGGGAGAGAGGGGAGGCCCTCCCAGGCCCAGGAAAGGGCTGTGCTCCAGTGGCAGGAGAGTAATAAGGCTGCGGCAGCCTGGCGCTGCCTGATTACCTTACAGTGACATGATGACATGCTTTCCAGTTCCAGGGGACATCTTCCCAAAAGAGATTTTGTATGCTAATCCCTCCTCCCCCCAACAGCCAGGCCTGAGGCTGCCGGCTGCCTGAGCTGCCAAATTCCCAGCAGGAGTACCCTCTGGTGCACTGATAAGAGGGGATAAAAGCCACTCTACCCAAGCTCCCTTGGCTGTGGTGGGTTCTCCCCAGAGCCCTGTGCAGCCAGCCCCCCACTGGATGCTCCTCCCCACCCTGGGAGGGTGATGCAATCACCCAGTGGGGATGGTGCCTTCGTCCAGGTAAGCCTGGACCACCACTCCACAGATGGGGTCACCCGAGACTCTGGGGAGAAGGGAGAGGATTCCATAGCTCACCACGCCTGTCTTGGTGACTCTGTCAGCATCTGTCTCCTTTGCTGTGCTGGTCAGCCTGTGAAGCAAAACTGGGCATGCCAGTGATGGATGAGGCTCTTCTCCAAGGGATTACCACTGTCTGAAATACAGGCAGCTCTTTGATCCAAAGCTCAGCGAGCAGAAGAGGGTCTGCTCTCTCCCATGGTGGTCTCTGAAGCTACCCATGACCCCTGGGGCTAGCAAAAATATATCCCACCGGTCAGAGCACCCTGAGGGTTTGCTCAGCCGTGCTAATAGAAGCCTCCTCTAGGAGCTGGGAATAGCTGGAGTAGACCACAGATCTTGTCATGGACATAAGAGCAGTAATACACAGCTCTTTTGTTGATACTCCTGTCCCATGGGGAATTCACCAGTGACCAAACACTTGGGCATATAAGCTCCTCTGCTTTGCTGCAAAATATCTGAAATACAGTCAAGTTTTGGGCTCCTAGTGTTTTGATTGGCTTTGCTGTCATGCCTTCGGAGATAACTCTTTTAATTTACGTTGCACCAAACACTCCCAGTCAACCCTGAATTGTGCGGGACCTGCTGTTCCAGCTGGATCCCTACAAATCTACCCAATGGGATTCATCCCAGAATCCTCAAAGAGCTAGTTTGTGTCACTGCACAACCTCTCTCGATGATTTTTTTAGCAGTCTTGAGCAACCAGAGAGGTCCCAGCTGACTGGAAGCTGGTGAAGGTTGTCCCAGTTTTCAAGAAGGGCTAGAAGGAGGATCCTGGAAACTACAGGCCTCTCAGTCTCACTTCAGTGCCTGGTAAAGTTTTGGAGAAGATTATTCTGGGAGGTATTGAAAAACACCTGAAAGTCAATGCAGTTATTCATCACTGCCAGCACAGCTTCATGAGAGGAAAGTCCTGCTTATCCAACCTGATTTCCTTTCATGACAAGGTAACCCACCTAGCTGATCAAGGGAAGCCAGTTGATGTAATCTTTTTGGATTTCAGTAAAGCTTTTGATATTCTCTCATAGGATCCTTCCGGACAAAATGTCCAGCACACAGCTGGATAAACATATCATGTGGTAGGTGAGCAACTGGCTCAAGAGTTGACCACAGAGGGTAATAGTGAATGGGGTGACATCAGACTGGCGACCTGTCACTAATGGGCTTCCACAGGGCTCCATCTTAGGCCTGTGCTCTTCAACATCTTCATAAATGACTTGGACATGGGACTGGAAGGGATACTAAGTAAGTTTGCAATTGATACAACATTAGGAGGAGCTGTTGACTCCCTCAAAGGCAAGGAGGCCCTCCAGAGAAACCTTGTCAAATACGAGGGCTGGGTAATCACCAACCATATGAAGTTCAACAAGGGGAAGTGCCAGATTCTGCACCTGGGATGGGGCAACCCTGGATGTACAGACAGACTGGGGAACAAGATGCTGGAACACAGTGCCACAGAAAGGAATCTGGGGGTCCTGGTCGATGCCAAGTTGAATATGAGTCAGCAGTGCCCTGGCAGCCAGGAGGGCCAACCATGTCCTGGGGGGCATCAGGCAAAGCATCGCCAGCTGGTTGAGGGAGGGGATTGTCCCACTCTGCTCTGCACTGGGGCAGCCTCACCTTGAATATTGTGTGCAGTTTGGGGCACTGCAATATAAGAACAATATTAAG